GTTTGAAGCCATGCCGGAACAAAAGTTGATAGGACCCATCTCTCCATCTCAACCAGTAAGCCAAGTTTGTTGGTACTAAAGGAAAAAATTAACTGGGACTAAGGCCCTGGGATAGCATCTTGGCCAAGTAGGCCAAAACCAGATGCAAAAGACATTGTTTCAGCACATCTTTCCTCTGCCCTTCCCTAGCCTCATCTAGTTTTAGTGTCCTGATTAGGAATTAATAACTACTCAGAATTTTGTGGGACCCAACTCCCAAACACCTAATTATAATAGGATCAACCAATCAGAGCACAACCCAGGATATAAGAACTCCCAGAGCTGGAGGAGGGAGCATGGCTCACACCTGTAATCTTAGCTACTCAGGAGGCTGAAATCTGAGGACCATAGTTCAAAACCAGCCAAGGCAGCAAAGTCCATGAGACTCTTAATTCCAATTAATCACCAAAAAAACAGAAGTAAACCTGTGGTTCAAGGTGGCAGATAACTAGCCTTGAACCAAAGAAGCTCAGGGACAACATCAAGGGCTTGAGTTCAAGCCCCATGACAAAACAAAAAACTCTAGACTCAGAGATAGAGACACAAAGAACCCTTCTAGGGAAGAAAGGATGGACGATTGGCAGAGTGGCAATAGTAACATCAGCTTTCAAGCTAGATACATCTTTTCAGAATAAAGAGCTTCACATTTATCTTCCATTGTCCTGGACTTCATTCATCAAACTCTTGAGACACAAACCCAAGGAGGCCACAGCAGAATGGAGCTGCAACACTGGTAGGCCTTGTTTGCCCTGAGCTGTAATTTGCAATACTAAGCAGGCTTTACCTCCTTCAGGGCTGCAAGCCTGGTGGTCTTCGTAGGCTACTGAGTCAAAAGGGCTATGGGGGCCCTGCCTGCTGAAAGTAACAGCATAAAATTTCACCTACATGGGAGGCAGATACAAAAGAATTTGTAGAGTCTGAGTTGGCATGGGCCAAAACATGACTAGGGCATGGTTTAATTGGTAGCAAGTGTAAGGCCTGGAGTTCAAACCTCAATAGTGCTTCCCCACAACAAAATGTCTTTGAACAAGGTTTACTTTGACATATTGTAGTAATACTTGGGAATGCCTAGACTGATGATATATACCTTAAAAAGAATTTAATCAGAGAAGGAAAAGGATTCCAATTACAATTCTGAAAGAACAAGGTCACCTGGAAAATTACCTCATTTCACCCTTTCTACCCAATCTTGAGATTATTCCAGGTGACACCAGTATTAATATGAACATCTGGTCACCCCAGAACTATATGTGTCTATTCCACTGCTAGTCCTCTTCCCCTACTTCAGAAAACTAAACAGTTACTTAGATCACTTGTTCAAGCTCATCAGGATCTAGAATTGTTCTACATTCCTCTCCACCTGCAAACTCCACACTTTCCATCTTTCCATAAAACAGTGATTCCCCTCTGACATCCCATGATGTCTCACATGATCTCTTGATAGAAGTCTCCTATTCCCTTTCACATACCTTGGGACAAGGTGACCGACCCATAAATCCCAACTACAGTCAGTCTCCCTCACCTCTCAGGGCTGCAGAGCCCACTTAGCCAAGGCAAAACTATGTCGGCTCTTCTGCAAGTAACTGACCTGAACTTCCACCTGGGTCCTCCATGGCTTCAACACTAGCCATTCTCCATCCCTCATAAGCTCCTATCTACTCTTCATTGGTGTCCAAATTTCCACCTTGCTTTCAAAGTCTTTGCACTGTTCCCAGCTCTCCTCACTCCCAGTAGGGGACCAGGTATACAATCAGACTTCCTTAAAGATACTTTGTGAGCTATTAGTATACAGTGATTGGTTTTATTTTCTTTTTTGGTGCTAGTTCTGGGTCCTAAATTCAGTGCCTGGGCACTATCCCTGAACTTTTTTGCTCATGGCTAGCACTCGACCACTTGAGTCACAGCTACTCCTGGGCTTTTGGTAGTTAATTAGAGATAAACAGTCTCGTGGACTTCCCTGCTGAAGCTGGCTTCAAATTGTGATTCTCAGATCTCAGCCTCCTAAGTAGCAAGTATTACAGGCATGAGCCACTGCACTCAGACCTACAGTGAAATAGTTTAAACTAAGATATAACACATTAGAAAAAAAACATTTTCAATGTAGAATAATCATTTATCACCTTCTCTGTAAACCTTAGACTATGTTTTCCCAGAATATGCTCCCTAGGTGGTCTCATCCATTCCCACAGATTTCTACCATATGCTGATGGCATCCACATGCACACTCAGTCATCCAGACTCAAATATCCACGTGCTTGCACACCTCCACCTCAACAACCAAAGCCCATTGACTTCACCTTCCCACGTCTCTGCATTCTTGTTTTAAGAAAACACATATCCACTTATTTTCCTAAAATAGAAAAATGAAGGCACTTGTGGCTCTTCTTCCTTCACTTTCAGGCTGAAGTCTCTAAGTTCAGATGAGTTTACTCTAAAATGTACCTCCAAGAATCCCTAGCTTATCATTTCCAGTGTCACTACCCCTCACATTTTTAACTTGACATGCTGTATTTAACACAGAACTACACTGGTGTCTTGCATCCTAGGCTATACTTAGGGAACTGAAAAAATCCTAATGCTTGAGGTACACGGCCTTAGACCAATTATCCCCCAGTCACTGTGGGTGGAACCCGGGCATCTCCATGATTCCAACATGCAGCTACATTTAAATTTCCAAAAGGGAAGGTATGAGCCCACAAATAGAAAATGCAAGAAAAAGAAAAACAAATCTAAGAGATTGAAACCTCTTCAAACAACTAAAAATAATTAATAAAAAGAAACTACAACTAAACAAATCAGAGTGAAACTGAAAACCCGAGAATAGAATCTTGGAAGATTATTAGAATAAAAGGCCATTCATAAAAAGAAATGAAATTGCTGGACACTGGTGGCTCACACCTATAATCCTAGCTACTCAAGATACTGAAATCTGAAGATGAAGGTCCAAAGCCAGCCTGGGAAGAAAATTCCCCTTGAGATTTTTATCTCCAAAAAGAGCAAAAAAAAAAAGCACAGGGACAGAGCCCAAGCCCTGAGTTCAAGCCCCATCCAAAAAAAGAAATTATACTGCAAGAATATCTTTACCAGCAAAACATCTGACAAAGGCTTAATATCCAAAATAAACAAGGAGCTCAAGAAATTAGTCCTCCAAAAGCTAATAAGTCAATCACTAAATAGGCAAAGGAACTAAGGGGAGTCTTCTCAGAAGAGGTAAGAATGGCAAAGAAACACATGAGGAAATGTTCATTATCCCTGGCCATAAAGGAAATGCAAATCAATACAACCCTGAGATTCCATCTCACCTCAGTTAGACTGGTCAACATTGTGAATTTGAAATGTTGTTGAGGATGTGGGGAAAAGGAACCCTATTGCACTGTTGGTGGGAATGTAAACTAATACAACCACTCTGGACAGCAGTCTAGAGGTTCCTCAAAAAACTAAACATGGATCTTCACTATGACTCAGCCATACCACTCCTAGGCATCTACCCAGAACATCACTAGCCAGGATACATGAAGATACTTGCACATTCATGTTCATTGCTGCACTATTCAGAATAGCCAAGTTATGGAAACAGCCCAGATGCCCCAAAATAAATGAATGAATCAAAAAAAATGTTATCTATACACCGTGGAATTTTATACATCCATTAGAAAGAATAATATTATGTCAATTGCAAGGAAATGGGTGGATCTAGAACAAATCATGTTAAGTAAGCGAAGCCAAGAGAGAAAAATGGCACATATTCTCACTCATATGTGGAAGACAGAGCTAAAAATATCCTGGAACATGATAAATTATATAGGACACTAGTGAGACCAGAGAAGGAGACTCTTAGGGGAGGAACACAAAGGTGCAATGCCTATGTGCCTCTAATCATATAAAATAATGTATATCAAAATGAACTCCAAGATATGGAAACAAGGTTTTTCATTGTTGTTTTTGTTTTTTTGCTTGTTTGTTCATTTTTTATGTCTTTGGAAGGGTAAGGTGAGGTTCAGAAATGGTGGAAAAAAGGGTGAACAAATGTAGCCATGGTACTCAGTAGACACTATGTTGAAAATGAACTATACAATTTGTGGGTGATGAGAGCAGGGGAAAACTGTGAGGAAAGAAATGACAGTGTTCAAAAAGAAATGTACTTATTACCTGACTTACGTAACTGTAATCCTTCTGTACATCACCTTTATAATAACAAAACTTCAAAAAAATTTAAAAAACAACTGTCTGCAATGTGAGATGATAGAAGACATACAGGTAAAATTCTTCAATGTATCAAAGGAAGAAAAAGAAAATGGAAAATCTAGACTATTCCAGCCTGCTAGCTTGTTCTTCAGGAATGAAAAACATTTTTTTCAGACAGACATACAATCTACTACTCAGACCATCACTGGAGAAATTGCTGTATACAGAATATACTTCATTTTATAAGTCTGTACTGAGTAATCTGGAGTATGGGTTCCACCTAGAAATATAAAATATGTGAAATATATGCACCGTTGAGAAGTCCTGTGGTCTTGCTAAGGTAAAACAGCGCAGTGCAAACAAATTTCACAACAAAAGTACTGTTGGGCATTTCATTTGAATTGTTTCCTTCTGTTTTTGTAGAATTGAATCCCAATTTTCAGCTGATCAAATTCCTCTAACTTTAAATAAAAGCAAAGAAACACTTCCAATATAGTGATATTAAAAATATCACTTTCATTGCAAAAAGGTATCATGTATTTATATATTTATCAAAATATTGAAACTATTTTGTTTTGCCAGATTTATATTTTCATGTTTTACAGATAATCTAGAAATAATTTTAGAATTCCAATGACAACTGTTCAATCTCCCCAATACTACATGTAGTTTTCTCTCATAATTTCTGAACAAATTCAACCACACATACTAATTTTATAAGATTGATCCATAGTACTATATTCTAAGACTTGACATAAGGAAAAGAAAAGACTCAGTCAAGTTGATAATTACATATTTAATACATTTTGCTTTTAACAGCAATTTTCAAAGTAAATGCATTGTAGACCTTATAACTTATTAAAGATTTCATAATGCTTACAAAGTTGATTCTAAAAATATACTGTATTTTTCTAAATGAATAACATTATCTGGAAGATAGAATAATAAATTATAGTAATATGTTTATCATCACTATAGATAAGCTTGTATATACACTCAAAATGAAATCTTCTTAGGATCTTCGTATTTGTGCTGAAAACAGAAGCAGATCAAGGTTTGGCATAGAAGATCTCTGTTTGAGAGCAACTGTTTTAAAATCAAAATATTTAAAGTATCTACTGGACATTTGAGGAAAACAGGAACCCATGCACATACACACACATACACACTCTCTCACTTATGCACATGGACACACACTCGGGAAAGTACTCAGAAGACTGCCCTCATGCATCAGATAATTGTCAACCGTTTCAAAAAGGAAAATTGTCCGGGGCTGGGGGGAGGAGGGGAGCAGCTAAGAATATGTTTAAAGCATATTTAAACAGCTGTAATTAGCAAGATATGCCTAGAATTGTTATCAAATCTTCAACATGCACAGAATGTTACCACAATACATTCTTCAACAGACCTGAACTGTTCCCTGGTGGACATGAACACACAGGGAATCATGTATTCATCCATCCCCCACACGGCATATGGTAAGGTTGCAAATCCAGGCATTCCACTGACAACGAGTGGAACTGCTTTACAGAGTGTTTTGCTTTATAGAATCTGATAGATTGCAGAGCCCAATAGAATTAGAAACTTCATTTTGATTTGTTGGTTATTTACTGTGTCCCTTGTGCATAAGCAATAAGATTCTGCATTGTAAACGACAGCTCTGATCACTTTACACTCTGTGGCACAGGAGAAGGTCACTTTGTATTCCCAAACCATATTTATTCTCATTAAATTCCTTAACTTTAAATTGTGTGTACATTTCCAAATTTAGTTTCAAGACAATTTAATGTTGATAGCCTCACCTGCAAACTACATATAGCTCCAGTAAAATCTGTAAAGACAGAAAATTATTCTTTGGGATCTCTCCAGTAACAGGTTTAAACCTATTGTATGGAAGAGAATATATTAAAACACTCTTTGAAACAACACCAAAATAGTAACTAACCAAACATTAGGGCAGTCCTGACTCATACTGCTGTGATTACAAAAATAAAAAGGCACAACAGCAACCACAAGACAAAATACCAGCTACCCATTTGCTTTTTGTTTGAACTGTGTCTTTCTTCTTATTTCCCTAAATTCATGAATTTTTCAAAGCATTCTCATACTCATGACCATAATAGAATATTTTGGCACATTAACATTGTCATACAATGGTATGGTATGTTTTAAAAATTAATTTTAAATTTTCATCTAGTAATCAACATATTTTAATGTAGTGCACATATACCTTACAGTTATTGAGGTCAAATGCATAAAGGTTTTTAACTGATTTACAGATGAAGCAATCACAGATTGCAGTAACAATGTGTATGTGTGTGTGTGTGTGTGTGTGTGTGTGTGTGTGTGTGTGTGTGTACATACACACCAATCAAGGAAAAACTGCATATTGGCAATTTTACAGTTCCAAGTTTTGTTGGTGTATGTATCATTTACATGTCATTTTCTTCTTTGTATATAAAAGATATGCTTTTGCCTTCTTCATTCTTGATGAGATTTTTCTGCAATAACTTTACATTCATACTGCAAAAATTAAAAGGTCAAAAGGTTAATAGATTAAAATCTCTTTGTATTACAACTTGCAAATAAGCTAACATTGTCTTCACAAAGCTCCAAAAATTAATACATATGTCTACTTTATTCCTCAGTTTCTGAGAGTTAGATAATTAATAGGATTCAATGAAAAATGTGATAGGGAAAGAGCTCTATTTTTGTGTTTACGTGTGGTGCAGGGGATTGAGCTCAGAGCATTATAAGACATTCAACTACTCAATTACATCTCCATTCCTGATCACATGCTAGAAGTGCCAAAACCAGAATAAATATGAGTTTTCTGCATTGTACACAAAGAAAGCAGTATAAGGCTGGGTAATAGTGGCTCACACCTGTAATCCTAACTACTCAGGAGGCTGAGATCTAAGGATCACAGTTTGAAGCCAGCCCAGGAGGGAAAGTTGTGAGACTCTTATCTCCCATTAAATCACAGAAAAAGCTGGAAATGGCACTGTGGCTCAAGTGGTAGAGCACTAGCCTTGTGCAAAAGAAGCATACAGGCCCAGAGTTCAAGCCTCAGGACCTGGATGAGGCATCCCCCACCCCCCCCCAACACACTCACACATAGCAGTATGGTATTGAGATCAACTCTGTGACAGGAAAGGAAGCATGTTTCTTTAAGGTGCAAAAAAGCAAATGAACACAGCAATGTCATCACAAGGCTGAATTCAAGATGATTGTTTCAAATCACTTAATCATTCAAAGGAAAAGTGTTATTACTTTATAGAAGTTTTCTATCAAAACAGTAATATTAAAGTACAACTATAAAAATCTATAGCTATAATTGAAAATGAAAGGAGCCAACGTGGAGTTTCAATTTGGTGGCCAAATTATCAAAAAAGATAGCAAAGCAAACCAATAACTTCACCCAGTTGGCTAAAATGGTCAAAGTGATAGGATTTATGAAATGCTGTGGCTTCCAAATGTTACTCTCCAACTTTGGCCACCATGATGTGGTTATCAGCAGTGTCTTTCCCTTCATAGCAACTGTTTTATTCGAGACAGTCTGAATTTATAAATACTGTGTTTATTACCAGTGCCCCTTTTCACTTTTAAACCTGTTCCCTTTGATGGAATAGAAACCTATAGATAAGGGGCTGGGAAGGTGGCAAAGTGCTTGCCTAGCATGCATGAAGCCCTGGGTTTGATTCCTCAGTACCATATAAGCAGAAGAAGCCAGAAGTGGTGCTATGGCTCAGTTGCTAGCCTTGAGCAAAAGAAGCTCAGGTCTTGAGTTTAAGCCCCAGGACTGGCAAAAAAAGAAACCTATAGATAAGTTAAAACAAAAAAAAATCCCCATATGGTCAATAAATCATATCACCCTATCCATAACACATTTTGGCTTTTTCTCTAGTAGCTCCTCAACCTTTAATACTCCCATGATTAAATTCTTTCAAATGAGTTATCTCAATGAAAGAACAAACTAGAAATCAGAGAATGTTGCCTTCATAAACTGCTCTCCCTTGAAGACAGATGGTTATTTAGAGAAAATTGTCATATATGTCACCTGACATGGCTTTGTTTTTATATGTGTCACATAGAAAAGGGTCTAAAGGAGCATCAGCTTACCGTTGCCAGTTGTCGACCGATGTTTCCCATTGTAATGCTTCCAGCAAAAAATATACATGGTAACCAAGAACGAACATACAGAAAATCTGGAGATGTGTATCTAGAATAATAGAGGAAATGAACCCAGAGAGGAAATGAAAGGACACATAAGATAATCACAGTGAAAACAAATTATTCTGTAAACTAGCCAACTCAATTCAAAATCTCACTTCTGGATTCATATATCATTTACTTACACAGCCCAATAAGCACAGAAAGAAATAATACTTACTGATAAACACCGTTATAGACTAGCAGTTGTGTAACCACAGTTGCCAAGAAAGCAATTCCTACTCCAAGGCCAAAGCCACTTCTAGATCTATCAAAAGTCCACCACAGTCCAATGGACAGAGCAGCCAGGGTGAGAGACAACTGCATGTTGTTATCAAAATCCACCTTCTGAGATCAGTGTTAAAGAATCATGTTAAAACTTGTAGCTAACGAATATCACCTGCTCATTCTTCTAAAATAAAGAGATGGTACTGTGGAATTAATTGCTTTTTCTTGAGTACATTAAGACTTTCAGTATAATATATGAGCTTCGGTAGAATTAAAAGTATTCAATTCAAAAACACCAAATTCAGAGGACATTACTTAATAGATCCCACTGAACTGTACCCCCTCCAAAAATAAGTCTATATACATTTCTAATTATAATTTAAGAAATAACTTCTTGACTAAACATGTAACTTCAAGCTCAGAACACTAGTATTGCTGAAGGAACACACTTTGGTGGAAAGGGAAACCAGTACTATTTCTCAAGAAGGAGTTTAGAATTACTTGAAAATCATAGAGGAACTTTGAAATAGAAGAGTTGACAGCTATTTAACAGGACAGCACATTCTCTGTATGATTTACTGACAGACACATTTTATAATAATGCAGTTCAGAAACAAGAGTACCAAGGACACAGCATCCCTTTCTATTATGTCAACTGTTCTAGTTTTAATTTGTTGAGGATAAAGCCTTGAAGTGAACATTATCTTGCAACCTGCCAGGCTATTTTGGTGCCTGAGACTTTCTAGCATAGGACAGTTTGCTCAAATGATATTTTATTTCTGTCACCTACTTAAGCATCTATTCACCAATGTACCGCCCTTTCATACTCCAAAATCTATGGGCAAAATGAAGCTTTACAAATTCAATTTGCTCATTTCTTGCTAGAGGATTACAGTAAAAGAATTAATTTCAAGTGTCATTAAAAGGGCATTATCTATGTCTCAAAGGCCACATTTTGGCTTTATAACCACCTCCTTGCAGGGGATTACATATCTCACCAAACTACCGGGCCATGCTACATCTAGAGAGAAGTCAAAAAAATGTGTATCAAGCCGTTTTTTTCCCCCTCCTTTAACACCATTGTTTACCAGCAAGCCCACACCAAGAAAACCAGCCTCATGAACATGCATATATAGCTTACTGGGATCTCAGCATCTGAGGCCTGTGTGGTACTCTGTCAAGGATAGTCCCTTTTTAGGCTTGATTTATCAAGAAACCAACAGTTCATGTGGATATATGCTTTCTAAGCAAGCATTTCTCATGATTCAGTTTAAATTCCAAGGAAAGGTTTTGAGTGCTGAAGCCTTGTACAATAACATTTATATATAAAGAGTGTAAGGCCCACCTCTGCTCAGTCAACTTGATTAAGCAAAATAGGGAAGCTTCCCGTGTAAACAAATAAAATATATCAATCTTAAAAGTAGTACTTTGTGATTTTCTAAAGTCTAACCCAATTGAAAAAAAAACTCTAGGCCTATAAATTTTGTAAACAGATTTTGCTTAAAGGACAGAAAACAGCTAAATTTTTTGTACTTAAGTATTTCACTAAGAGCGAAGAAAAAAGTGAACAAAGCAAAAAATATGTTAATAAAGCTTTAAGATTTAAAACATAAATTTGTATTTAAAGCAGAAATCTTAAAAATAGAAATCATAGCCACACACCGGTAGCTCACACCTGTAATCCTAGCTACTCAGGAAACTGAGATCTGAGGAACATGGTTCAAAACCAGCCTGGGCAGGAAAGTCCATGAGATTTTTATCTCCAAATAACCACCAGAAAACTGGAAGTGGTGCTGTGGCTCAAGTGGTAGAGTACTTGCCTTGCACTGAAGAGCTAGGGATAGCACCCAAGCCCAGAGTTCAAGCCCACAACCAAGAAGAAGAAGAAGAGGAAGAGGAGGAAGAGGAAAAAGAGGAAGAGGAGGAGGAAGAGGAAGAGGAAGAAGAAGAAAAAGAAGAAGAAGAACAACAACAAAAAGAAGAAGTTCTCTTCTAGATATTAGAGCCTAGGATTGTTCTCTTTTTAAGCACTCCTAACCATAACATTTATTTTTTAGAAAATCATCAATTTCAAAAATTTCACTAGGTTGGAAAAGTCTTTAATACAAAGGAAAAGGAAAATAAAAATAACAACAGCCTTGGAAAGATTTTTAAGTGTATTGCAGGCGGGGTAAAACAGGGCTCAGGAACTCTTTAGAACCCGGGTTCCTAACTCCTTCCATGGTTTCTGTTCCTATATATCTCCCAAACAGCTTGATACCTTTGATAAGGAACACAGGATTGAACTTACAGCATGATCCACCTCAGGCTCACACTGTGGCCCTGTGCCCAATGCAGAGGCCCATTTGTCTTTCTTTTTTTTTTTTTTTTGGCAACCAGAGTTCCACTCTTTTCTCTGCTCCATTCCCAAAGCTCCTACCAGCTTTACTGTCTAAACTACATCTTCTAGAAGAACAAGTCAGGAGTAGCAGTTCCAAGATTTTTCTCTACAAAGGAAAGTCATGAGGTAGAAGAAGATAGAGAAGAGGAAGTAGAAACAATAAAAGGACTAAAACCTTCTGAGGGCAGGATCCATGCTCTAGGGGGGGATTTTGTTTTCTTATCCTGTGGGCAGAGGCATAAAGGTAAAGGAAAATGGTAACTACCTTAAGTCATCTTTAGAAGACACTATAAAAAAAACTAATCATGAAATAAAATAGAATTTTTGAATGCTAAAACTGTATATATTTAAACTGTGTCTATATATAAATATATACATATATACACACATATACATATTAAGAGGAAAAGTAGTTACTTTGGGCCTGATCTAAGCTGACTATTTCTACTAACATCACTTTTAAGTCAGTAACGTGCAACAATCTGGAGGCAGAGGCAGAAGGGTCACCTGGGCAACACAGTGAGACCCTGTCTCAAAACCAAAACAAAACAAAACTAGGCACAGGTGGCTAGCTCATGCGTATTCTAATCCTAGCTACTCAGGAGAGCAAGACCTAGAGGATCACAGTTCCTAGCCAACCTGGAAAAGTCCTTAAAACTCTATCTCCAAAAGTAAAAGGCAAAAATGCTGGGCTGGAAGTGTGGTTCCAGTGGTAGCATGCCAGCTAAGAACTCATGAAATCCTGAGTTGATACTCTAGAACCAGCAAAGTGAAATGAGACAAAACAAAGCAAAGCAAAAACTACTTAGGCAGCCTTTTGGTCTAGATTAAAACCAGCAAATTAGTTTGCTTCTTAAAAATTATAACTTCTTTAAGTTACAAGAGATAAATAAATAAATATGAAATGGTACCCGAAACCACCACATATCCTTATTGGCAAATCCTAAGTGGAAAAAAAAAAGCCAGGGCGGGGTGGGGGGAGGGGGGTCCTTTGAAAATGTATCTGCTTAAATCTTAGAATTACCAAATCTTAATGGAAGTAATTAAATGAACTTTACAACTTGGGGGGGGGGGCATTGGGAGGGAGGAGAAGTGGGAGAAAAATGAGGGAGGGGGTAACAATGTTCAACAGGAAATGTACTCACTACCTTACATATGTAACTGTAACCCCTCTGTACATCACTTGACAATAAAATTATTTTTAAAAGAAACCTGATTGAGACAAACACATATGTTTTAATGTGAGAAGCCTAAGTGATACTGAAAAATAGATTTAATAAGGCCCATACCCTCAACTATAACTGTACAACAACTACTCCAATGTCTATCTACACAGCCCGCATTGTTTTTATGACTACTTGGGAACATTACAATTTACTACAGTGAAGGTGCAAGGGGCTGTTTAACCTTTGGTTTGTTGCAAGCTGCTTTATTATTGCGCATTTCATTATAGTGTAAAGGATACAGCACTGGCATGATTTATACCAACAAAGACAGCTACACACCGCATAACACTGGACCACTCTCTTTTAAATTTATGTGGTTCTCCTAGATGCCTGTCAATGCAAGGGTATAATAACCCAATCACAGCTGTGGAAAAAAAGAAAAAAAAATTAAGTCATCTCCAGTATTGTTCTGGCAACAATTAAGCTACAAAAAAATCGCTATAACCACCATTTTAAATACTTCTATCAAAAAATCAAGTTACTTAACATCATCACTGACATTATTAAACTTACCTCCCAAAACAAAACCAAAAAAAAATGAGAATAGCTCATTGAAGAAAGCACTGTAAATGACAAGAGATTTTTAATTCTAACAGACAAAACACTCTTTAAGTGTGTGGGTCACAACTGAACAGACAGGACTAAACTGACAAATGCTACTTTTCTGCTCTGAATGTCTATGAGACTTGAAAAGCACCAAACAATTTAACAGTTAAACAATATTCTCTGAAATCTCTACAACCCTAAGATATGCTATTAGATGCAACCCATCTAAAGAGAAGATAGAAGCATGAACATGTAACAAGCAATTTATCATATATACTATGTCCAAATGCTCCTGGCTATTGTGTTATGTAGATTAGTTTTTGCCCCTATCAGCTGCTTGTCTTAGTTTTCTGCATCTTCCACCTTTTTCTGACACTCACATTTTATTCTTCTAGTAAGACCGAGGTCATACGGTTAAAGCAGGAAAACTTTCAACAGAAATCTATGTGTGCATTTCATTCTGCATACAGAAAAATCGAAGGCACCTGGCATACAGGAATACAAATATAGAGGTAGAATTTCAGTCCACCCTTAAAAGGCATGAAGAAAGCATCTTAGTATATTTCTTAATTTGGGAAAGAACATCTTGAAAGCTACCTGTGTACTTACACATATATCAACTGTATACAAAATAGCTATGACTATAGAGTAGTCTCATCCAATCAAAGTAGTCTCATCTAATCCTTAACTCAAATACCTGTCAGATCTTAACATTTTTATTCATGTAGAAGAAAATGTAGACTATGTTATTTGTTACAAAAATGCTAATGAACCTAGACCTTATTCAACAATTTATGTAGAGAGCACACTCTACCAATTAAATTTAACAGGAAATAGGTAGGCAGATGTGATTTCCTAATCTTTCTCAAAACAGAACTGTACTGCTATTAATTCTATAATAAAGTAATACTAACCACTTCAGTTGAACAGCATGTTAGAAATACCCAACATCACCTATGATGTCTAATGGAATTATACCAAATCTAAGTGTACAAAGGTCAGATGTGCCTCTCCCCCCATGGAATTGGCTAGCTACATCCTACAAGTGCTGAATTCAATCATCAACAGAACCAGAAACTAATATATTTTTCAAATCACAGGCTAATAGACCAATAGGACAGTACTGGAAAGAACTGTCTAACCAGTTCTATCTAGAGAGAAGATGCTGCAATAATATACACATTTTCCTATCTGGGCTCAGATCATCAAGAGACAAATCTTGGCAATGCAAACCTCCAGCAGCTATTTGAAAATTTAAGTTTCATGATTTAAAAAAAAAGACAGTTTTCTAAAATCTTGTGAGATTTATCATATTTCTAAATTTGTAAATAAGTAAAATAACAATAATCATGCCCAATAATTAAAAATATCTAAACATTATTTCTTTTCTCCTTACTGAAGTTAGAAAACTAACATCCCATCTGTCAACCTCCCTCTTCCTCCTCCTCTCCCCATAAGACATATGTAGTTAGATACACAGAGCGATGTATCTGTAGTTATCAATATTATTTGTATCTATATATATCTACATCTTGCTTTCTTGTTTCTGAGTAAAATCAACTAAGAGGATGCATTCCAAGTCAATTTTGCTCAGCAGTTGATGCCATAAGTAAAGAATTATCACATAGAGAATAGTGACGTGTGTGCAAAGATATAAATCAGTAAAATTGACTATATTCTTATTTGTGTGATGTCAGACTCACAAGTGAGAGACAACTGAAGAGAGAAAGCAAAACCACAAAAAAGGAATTTAAACTGTCACACTGCTAACCTTGGGATTTGCCAATAAAGATCAAATCCATTGAGTATGCATGGTTCTTGGTTGCTCACTGAGAGGGAGAATTCAAAGAAGCTTGTCACTTCCCATTAAATGTCTTCTTTCTTTCCTTTCAATAAAGGCGCAGCAGAGTCTGATAGCAATAGCACAGTGAGGCTGCACTGTTGGAAAGCTCAGCAGAATATTTCTGAGCTTCTCTTCTACTTCCTGTATTTTTTTTCTTTTTAAAAGAGAGACTTAAAATCATGCCTGTGTAAAATCATAGGCAAATATTGTCTGCTTAATCAGATAGTTTGCTGGTACAAAATCATATTTCTTGTAATATTTTTAAATGACTTCCTAGTAAGAGTCTGACAAGACCAAAGACAAAAGAAGTTTGTAAAACACCAATCGTAAGCCATCACATTTTCCTAGCACTGTGCTCAATGCAGGGAGGCACTAAAAGGAACACAGTTAAGCATTTTGCAAGAAGGGCTGGGGAAAATGAGCCATTCCATCTGTTACCCTTTCATGGAAAACTATGAAAAATGAGGACAGATAGGGTTATATTTTTATTCAGCAAATACTTACACCTCACAACATATCTAATTTTTTTGCTTGACAGGGAAGTAAAAAGAGCAAATCATGAACCCAGTGGCTAAGTGAGCAAACTCTATTGAATATAATGCTGTGGTAAGCACTGACAGGGTTCTGAGGGTTCCAGATCCTCTTCTTCCAAGTATTGCTGGGAGGTAGGGTGGTGGCTGTCAGAAAGCTTCCTAGAAATGGTGATCCTAGGGGCAGCAGCATTGAGCAAGCGACTAGTATACAGTGTTCTCAGCAAGCAGAGACATTTGAGAAAACACAGGGATGACTGAGAACAGCTGGCATTACTAGGGAGTTGAAAGCCCAGGCATGAAGGAAGCTTCAGAGTTCAGAAAGATCCAGAGAAAGATAAAAGTAGGCAAAGACCTTAATGTAAGAAGACTACCCTACCACAGTGAGGAATCAGAAAGAGGTCAACATTATATCTGTTCTAGAGAGGGGCAACTGTTCTTACAATGGTGAGTATAAAACATGAGTGGAGGAGGTGTAAAATAACAAACAGAAAGAAAAGAACTGGTAACTCCAAGCATCTAGGTTAAAAAACAGACGGTGAGGTAGTGTATCTCTTGGGAGGTAGGTGAGGAAGGAGAGTGAAAAGAATGATCTTATAGAGCTAACTCTCCAGGAACGGGGTAATGATCAGCATGAAGAAAGAGGAAACATATTTTCTTTTTAATTATTACTTTCAGAAGTATGGACTCAACTTGGCTACTTGTGGATTTTGTGGCAACTTCTCTAGAAATATTTAGGATGAGTCTTTTGTGGCCCTTGGGAATGAACAAGTTTTCCAATTCTAACTCTATTCTGCACCCATAGGGAGGTAATCAACTCATAACATCAGCAACTTTAAATGAACAACAGGTAATTGAGAAATGGAAAGGGCATCAAAAGCTGTTCATCAGGCTTCTCTAGCTGTCCTGGAGAATCATCATCATTTCTGTCAAGGACTGTGCTATAGGTAAGTAGAAATAAACAGCTGGGTGCCAGTGGCTCACGCCTGTAATCCTAGCTAGACTGAGATCTGAGGATCATGGTTCATAGCCAGCCTGGGCATGAAAGTCCATGAAACTCTTATCTCCAATAAAGTACTCAGAAAACCAGAAGTGGTGCTGTTGCTCAAGTGGTAGAGTGCTAGTCTTGAGCTGAAGAGCTGAGGGACAGTGCCCAAGCCCAGAATTCAAGCCCCATGACCAACAAAAGAAAAAAAAAGACAGAAAAGAAAAAAACAAATAACCAGAGGCTATTGTTTACAGGGAGAAAATGTTGAGTCTGGATGCAGACCCTCCAAAAGATAGATACTTGGTCTAAGAAAGTCATCAAAAGATGACCATTAGTTTTTACTAATGATGTTAAGAACCTCAATGGTTTTGGAAAATACATATCAACATAAATACCACCCAAAAATTCACACACACACACACACACACACACACACACACACACACACACACACATACACACACAAAACAACTATATTTCTTACATCACTTACTTCTTTTTTTTCCTCATATTTTCCCTGAAATGACAATCAGGACTGGAGGAAGCAGACAGTATGCCGAAATCCATTTTCTACCTTGGAAACATTGATAAATCTTTACTTTCATCCATCCCAACAAAAACCAGCAGCACAGTGAACTGGAATCAAGACTTGAGGATACTTCTACTTTGTTTTGCCCAAGTATAGCACACACTTACAGAAGAAACTGTCAAGCAAGAACTGTAAATGCAACTCTACCAAGTAAAAAGTTTGAGGTTAAGTGTAACAAACTTAGTAGAAGGACAGTGAGGACAAAGTGGCAGTACTAAGATTTGGAGCCTTTCTTCCTAAATCTGAGTTTATTGAAAAAAGAGTCCTTGTGACAGGGACACAAGAAAGAGCAGATGAACCCATCTCTCTATGAGGTGTAAGGAAAACTCAAACTTCTCTGCCCCAAACCAGAATATATACCACACACCAGCAGATTCCATCCAGGCCTACCATCTTGAGTGAAGGCTTGCAAAGAGGTGATCTGAGTACAAAAAAAAAAAAAAGGGGCCAGTTCTCTCTGTTCTGTTCCCCAGTATATGATGCTACCATATACTGGCCCTTGGTCCAGGGCCCTCATCTCATTGATTTCCTCTCTTTATCTCAGACACAATACCACCATCTCTCTCCTAAAGCTGGTCTACAGAATCCTGGGGTTAAGAGATGTGCTGCCATATCAGTAGACCTGTAGTAAGTCATCTTGCTCGCCTCTGCCTTTGCTTTGTAAGTACTGAAAGGCATGTTCTCCCAAATCCAAAGGCTTCTATTGGCAGCCTGCCAGAGCTTTAAATTTAAGGAAAATAACAAAACTAGAATAAGCTATTGATTTTTCTTTTCTGAATCTAAATGCATGAGGACCAGCAGACATTAACAAAGAGTGATAAAAATGTAACTATGTTTTCTTGTCTTTGTCTATTTGGACTATTTCTCTTAGAAAATGATAATCCTGGAGAAGCTAAGAATCAATAACTTTATGGTTTCTCTTTTAAAGTGAATACTATAATATTTAGTCTTCATTATAAAAGTCACAGTAAACATTACCATGACAATGTCTTCTGATCCATGCAACGGGATTACATGATTGTCTAGCAGGTTTCATGAGATCATTTAAATATATATTACAAATCAGCCTCACCTTTGGACACACCTTTGGACTTCTAAATCTAGGATGAAAGATAAGAGGACCTACTTCCTGTGTGAGATATTGATATATATTAAGTATGGGCATTCAAAAATGCAATTTTTCTATCTAAACCAGATTATATTCTGCAACATGTTTATGGCTACCTTCTATGACTTTATTTATTAACTTTTTTGTTTAAGTCATTAGAAAAAGAGATTTTCATTATGGAAGCTCAAGATCAATAAAGTATCTAAAATATTCAACTTTATCCATTGCACACTGTCTATACAATCAAAACACAAGCCAGAGTAACTAAAAGCATAATGATGATTTTAAAGAGAGTGTGCCTTGTTGATTTCTGCAACATTTGTTATTCTCACGGTACATTTCAAAACAAGATGTAAAGGATAAACGCATATACAAAAATCTAAAAAATACAACATGAAGCTTTAAACTCTAATTTTTTTTCATTTTTCAAATTTTTATTTGTTTCAAAATCAAATTGTAGTGACCATCATCACAATCACTTAAAATCTAACTTAAGTGAAGTGATGCTAAATGTCCCATCCTAAAGGAAGCCAAGATTTATTTTTTGAAAGATAAAATTTTTAAAGTTCACAGGTCACATAGAAATCACAAAAAAAGTACATACTCTATGATTCTATTGACATTTTAGAAAAAGTTAAAAAAAAAAAACAGTCTTTAGTGAGAGAAAAGCAGAGCAGTGCAGCCTGAGGATGAGGTAAAGAAGAGATGAAAGATGGCATTAAAGAGTTTGAGGGATGGGCTGGGAAGGTGGCTCAGTGGTAGAGCGCTTGCCTTGCATGCATGAGGCCCTGGGTTCGATGCTTCAGTACCACATAAGCAGAAAATAAAAAAGCCAGAAGTGGCACTGTGGCTCAAGTGGTAGAGTGCTAGCCTTGAGCTGAAGAGCTGAGGGACAGCGCCCAGACTCAGAGTTCAGGCCCCACAACCGGACCCCCTAAAAAAAAAAGAGTTTGAGGGTGGAGAGAAATGTTCTGTAGCTGAATTGTGGCCATAATTTCATGACTGTATCTACTGCCTAAGGACATCAAGGTTTTCACCTACAGGTCCATTGTTCTGAATTTAAATTATACCCCAAGCTAATTATTTTTTTTTAAGTTTATCATTCAAAGCACATCCACTCATTTGTCCTGTCTCCTTCCTGCACACTGCAGAAATAGCCTACACATACCTGAAGCTGTGCCACAGCATGGGGGTACCCACCACGCAGAGGAAAAGATGCTTGCAATCACATCGGGTGGAAAAAGTGTCACATTTCTTTGAATCTGAAGCAAATTTAACACTAATGCGAGAAATACTCCAATAAAAAACAAAACTACTCCTCTAATCATCAAGTTCACACTCTGGCTAGTGACAGATGAGATATATGGCCCACATTTTTTGGGTCCAGGTGACTCCGTCTCTCCTTCTGCCATAGTTTCATAAGTCCAAGCCGTAGAAAGAAAACAAAATTAAGTTAAAAAGAAGCTTGCCAGCTGACAAGTCCAGTTGTCTGTTAATCAAAGTGGACTGATATTTCAATGGTACATCTTGTCCTGAAGTAGGACCTACCAGAAATCCTGCAAGAGAAAAGAAAAAAGAAATCAATATGTGTCTGATACATATATACACCTTTTTCTGATTTCTACACTAGTTAATTTAAACACATACACAATGAAATATATGTATGATTTATTTAAATTAGCTATTTGCTGATTAAGAAAATATTTTAATAGTAATTTTATAATATGTATGGCATAATTTTTAAGTACCACATTTAGATTTACTAGGCCAGAATAAGTAATCCAAGAAACACAAATATTAGAATAATAGTTAAAAAAAATTAGCCCCTCCTCTAGAAAAAACAAACAGTTAAACTGAAATACTTCCAACAAAAACTTGAAGATGCCGGGGAGGGAGGACGAGATGGGAAGGGGAAACAAAGGAGGAGGCAACAATGCTTGATAAGAAATGTACTCATTACCTTGTCCATGCAATTGTAACCCCTCTGTATGGTGTTTTCACAATTTAAAAAAAAAATTTGGAAGATGACAATCCAAGGTATTATCTATCTAACTCTCTAACACACATTAGTTACAACGGAGTATTTCATACTTTACAGAAAAGCAACATAATAAATTCTGACCAAAGATACTGTACTTTTCACAATAAAATGGGACTTTTTTCTTGAGACTGTCCTCTATAGAAGAACAAAATGACCATTTGAACGTTTTAATGCTTATATATATTTAATTTCTCCATAAAAGCATTCTATAAATACCAGAGCACCAAGCACCAATATATACACCAACCACAGAAGCCAGACCTGCCCCGCTCTCCCCAGAGTCACAGCTGTGACCCATACTACTTTCACAGAGACTGTCAAATGTTGCAATTGTGGCAGTCATGGTAAGCAAGCCAGAAGAGGAAGCAGTAAAAGAGGAGGCCTATGAGTAACTTAATGACAATACTTCTACAGAAGTTTTATCCTCATGGCCTGATTCCCAAAACCCAAAAACATTCTACCACAATCAGTCTAGGTAAAGTGACTGTCAGAGTTTGAATGTTGTTTTTACCCACGGAGATTCACCAGTTCGGGGCTTGGTCTTCACAGTGGTAATGGTGGGAGGCAGAGTCCTGGCAGGCACTTTGAGACCCCAACCTCTCTGCTTCCTGTTTGGTAATGTGATCTTGCCCTCTCACCAGCACTCTAGCCATCTCTTGTATAGCTGCCAGAACAGAATTGATGCTGGTATGATACCCTTGAATCTCTGATACAATGAGCAAAATAAAGCTCTTTTCTTTATAATTAGCCTGCCTCTAGTATTTCATTATGGTAACACAAACCATACAAATGTAGTAATCATTGTGTGTGTTTCAGATAAACAACACGTGAAGCTTTTTGTATGTCTTTCTAAGCACTGATATAAGGAAACTTACTTAACCTTGACACACACTTGTAATCTCAGCACTTTGAAGGCTGAGGCAAGAGAACTGGGAGTTTGAAGTACTAAGCCACATAACAAAACTCTGCCTCAAAAGGTAAAAATAAAAACAACCCCTAAGAGGTAAGCAAAGTATTGTCTATGACAACCACTGTGAGGCAAACATTAAAGGTTAAGTCACCAGGAACACAATCTTGGCAGCCAGACTGCAAAGCCCTTGTTCTTATCATGACATTCACCTTTCCAAACTTGTCACTTATACTTTTGTTTGTCTTCTATGAATACTAACAGTTTTTAAATGGGAAAATACCACACAGGCTATTTTTTGTAAGTTACTTTCATCCTACCCAATTATGATCCATCTTGGATATCTTTACAAGTTAGTACATAAGTGACATTAGTTTTGACTCTCAAAGCAATTTATTTAAAACTACCAACAGTACTTCCACTTGCTACCTGGTAATTATGTGTATAGTTGCTTTACAGTTAATAAACTTTTTATGTAGGCCTTATTCACTATTACACCTCCACAGAGCCTCTGCTTAGTCCACCAGAGAGTTCCACACATACATAGTCCTAATTGTTTAATTAAACTGGGCTCACTCTTCTGGATTCAGCAGGCCTTTCAGAAGGCAAATTTAGAGCCTAACCATTTATAATTCATTGAGTTTCTAGTTCTCAAGCCACTTCACAAATCTTGGAACTTATATTCAACGAATGGGGCTAGCAGAAATAACTATAAAAAAGAGAACATAGTGCTCCCAGCTTTCCTAGCCTATCAATCCTATATGATAAATACTTAACAGAGAATACCATTTTCAAACCAGTCCTTAAAACCTACTTATTCTATAGCATAACTGAGCTCCACAGCTTACTAGAATGTAGGAAATGGTGTATATTACAAACAATCTGTAGGAAAAGAAACTCTGAAAATGCCCAGAAAACCACCACCTAGATCTGGTATGGAATTGATACAATCAGCCTTTCATGTGTTCTGGATACTCATCAAGGTTTACCAGCTACAGAATTCACCCTCATCATCATTGTTGATAAGAGTACCATTTTGAGAGCTTACTCTCTGCCAGACACAGAGTAATTCATCCTCAGAACAATCCTAATGGGAGGAATTGTCATCCTCATGTTACAAATGAGAAAACTACATAAAAGGGATTTAGCAAATGAGTACTGAACATGCAGGATCAGAACTGGAATGTTGGCTCAGGTCTGATTCTAAAACCCATTCTATTTTCCTAGTGCCCAGAGTCCAACTACACCCGCCTCAATTAGTTAACCCTTTTTCTTTTTAATTAATATAGATCTATATAAAATCAGAAGTTACTAAATACTTTACTGGCACTATATTCTCAAAGTACGAATGCCAAAATAAGCAGGAGACTATATTGTAGTCCAAATGATGAGAATAAACACATAACACCTTGAGGTATACTAAAACAAAAAGTGTACTAATTTAAAAAGGAGATCTTTTGTGTGTGTGTGTGTGTGTGTGTGTGTGCAAGTCCTGGGGCTTCAACTCAGGGCCTGGGTGCTGTCCCTGATCAGCTTTTGTTGAAGGCTAGTGTTCTACCACTTGAGCCACACCCAACTTCCAGTTTTTTGCCAGTTTATTGGAGCTAAGAGTCTCACAGGCTTTCCTGCCCAGGCTGACTTTGAACAATGATCCTCAGATCTCAATCTCCTGAATAGCTAGGATTACAGGTATGAGCCACTATCACCCAGCAAAAATGGTATTTTAAAAAATTCAAATAGTTACCATAAACATTAATTGTTAAGAGACTGCCCTTCAGAAATTCCAACAAAGTCCTTCAGAAGGCATTGCACCCAATCTATAGCTAATGGAGTAAAAGAGGATGGATTTAGCAAATCACTTGCTTCCATCTGTGAATTATTTCAAAGGGGAATTAGCAGCAATGGATACTTTATGTTTAACAGTACTTTCTAAGGAAACAAAATAACTTCGGTTTTGAAGCTATTTCAGTTTTTCTATCCCCAACCCTTCATCACTTTCCAGGACTTGTCAGAGTACTGTCATTTGGAGCAGATTAATTCTTGAATGTGTGTAACTTATCTAATCCTTACATATCATTTAGCATCCCTGATTCCTGCCCACTAAATACCAGCCTCCCCATTTGTGATAACCAAAATTGTCCTCGAAGTACATCCAAATGCCTCAAGGGAGGCATTGTCCTCCAAGGGAGAGCCTCTGATTGCCAGAGCCCTATTTCTTCACTCTACTTCAAGGCTAGTAAAGACTTTCTAAACTATTTTTGTTTCTTGTCACCAGTATTTACTCCATCTTTCCTGGTAGTGCTTCCTTACAATTGCCTACATTACCCTACAAGTTTTCTTTTAAAATAACATTTGATGTTTATTTGAATGAGATCCAAAGCCAACTTTGTGTCTACACAATGGTATAATTACTATGGACAAAAATAGAAGCTACAGGGCTTTAGAATCATTGTGTCCTAAAATTTAAGAAATGGAAGGGAATCAGGAGATCATCTATTACAGAGGGTTTTATTTTTGAGCCTTGTGCAAAACCAACAAAAATGTACATGTGTGCACTTTCCAGAAAAGAGAGTCCTTATATCAAGGACTCAAAAAACTCCAGTATCCAAATAAAGTTAAGAATCAGTGTTCTAAACATTTTCTCACTTTACCAGTAAGGAGAATACCACATGAAGTGATCAAGTGAAATAACAAATTGAAGACTTTACCAATGGGTCAGTAGTTTTTTCCTTTTGGGGGGGGGAGGGAAGAGGAGTACATGGAATGGATGTATTGGATCTTCCCATTACAAGTATGCACTGCAGACATGTGGTAATTATCAGATTCATCAAATGGATAGCAAATTCCACAAGATCATACAATAAAACCATAAAGTTGATTTAAAAATTCATTATCTATTGCACACTAAAGGAGTTCTGTAACTTATACTCCCTAGTGCCATTATTGTAAATTATCAAAAGAATAGGTGGGTACCAGCAGCTCACACTTACAATCCTAGCTACTCAGGAGGCTGAGATCTGAGGATCAATTGTTTAAAGCCAGCCTGGGCAGAAAAGCATGTGAGACTCTTATCTCGAATAAACTACCAAAAGCTGGAAGTGAAGCTGTGGTTCAAGAGACAGAGTACTAGCCTTGAGGAAAAGCAGCTCAGGGATTACACCCAGACCCTGAGTTCAAGCCCAAGACAGGACCAAAAAAGAAGAAAAAAGATCTGAATAACAAATATGGCTTGTTTGTTTTTTCTAATTATTGGCATCATTTTCTTAAAGCATACTTAGACATGTAAATATTGCTAACAACAATAAGAAATTTGATTCTCCATTTTTTAATCTACATTTGAAAAAATAGATTATTTGAAAAAACTACTGGTCAGGGAAGAAGTTTCAGATATAAACACTGCTTAAAGGACAATATCACAATGGTTCCTGATAATCTTGGTAATAAAAGCTGATGCTTTAAATTCCCACTTTACAAAATCAAGTAGGCCAAATAACTTTCTAAGAACACACAACTCCTTCCCAGTAGGCACAACCACTCTAACTCTAGACTTTCTTTCACCTCACAACATTTCCTCTTCTGTAAATACGACACACACAAACACACAAAATCACACATTAAAAGTTTTTAAAGTTATACTGGTAAACTGCTATACATTCCAAAGGAATATTTTCAACAAGGTAAAACAAAAACCTTTCTACGGGACATGAAAAAATTCTACCTACATACCTGCCCACAACTGCCATAAGACACATGACTGAACAAAGAAAAATACTTCACATACCTTGGCTAGAACAGTGACAAAGCATCAAAAATAGAAAAAATATTATTCCATGTGTCTACCTGGTAATGAATTGCTATTAATATTTGAAGGTAAATAAAAAAGGGATATAAATGATTCTGGTTGTTTGGGTGAAAATTGAAGTTTATGTTAACACAGAATCAACTTAAAGGCAACAGGCATTTGAAAATTAACACAAAAATAGAAAACTTCAGAATCTGTTGCATTTTAATGAATGCAATACCCCCTAGAGAACCAGTTGCATTCTAACAATTGTAATACTCCCTAGACCCAAACAAAGGTGGTTATTTTCCAAACAGTCCTCATTTTCCAAATATATTACCAAATCATAAAGCTGAATGACTACTTCTTTTTCACCATATGCTCTCTTAATTTAGAATATTGTCCACAAAACAGAATAAGCATTAAGACTAGAAAGACACACAAATCAATGGAATAGTTTAGGTCTCCTTAAAAGCATGAGTGTAGGAATAACAGGCTAAGTGCATTTAAACTTCTAAGAAGAAAAATGTTTGCATTGAATACATTGTTTTTTTCTCAACACTAAAATCCAAGATGTTAATCAAGAAACATTTGAATTCCTCTACTACTTTTAAATATCAATCTCTGTCTCTAAAAAAAAAAAAAACAGCCTACCATTTGGGGCTAATTTTCTGGTAAGAATGAAAAGAAGCTTTTTAAATAATGGAACTGCATTTTATTATTTCCTTTTCAGTGCAACTATGTGTAAATGCAACTATTGTCAAGTTTAAAAAAGAATCAGCCTCTTTCCCAAATATACATGATTCACAGATTGGTCATACTAGACATGAACCTGAGTATGAAAACTCAGTATGTAACAACACACTGGTCAAAACACAGTACTGAACACAAAGTCCAGAGAAAATGGGAGTGAAGGGGGGAGCCGCGGGATAAAAAAAAAAAAAAAAGTACATTAGCTATTTTTCTCCCTATGGGACCCTGATTAGCGAAGGCATCCCTTTTATACATTTTCATTTGGTTAACTATCAGTGCTAAACCTCAAAGTTAGAAAACATAATCTAGCCACAGCTCAGCTGCCTTCATTTTTCTACACCTAAGACTGGATGGAGCTTGTTTTCCTTGCAATCTTCAGTACCACTACAATACTGTAGCTAGGCAGTTTCGGGGCCCTGCAAGCAAGTCTATGGGTTTCTTCTTGAATCATCAATCCTACAAAACATCAAGCTCTTCACAGTATGTTTTTCCTACGCTATCTAGTGAGTACTATTCTTTAAAAACTTTTTTCATTAATAACTGGACACGGGTCATTATTGTTTAAGTTTTAGCCCCCCTCTCTACACCCACCCCTATCTTGGGCACTGCTTTCTTTTCCAGATGGTCACATCCCGCGGACGACCTTAAAATCCAAGCAGCTAACACCAATCGACTTCTAAGCCCTGGCAAGAGTTTTCTTTGGCTGTACCCACAAGATCTGCTCCCAATGTACGCAGTCCCAATCCAAACAGCCAAAGTCCTCAACTCAATGTCATGTCATCTTGGTGGATACAAAGTTTACTTTGATATCAGTCCTAATGCTGATCCATCTCCATCGCAAACCTGAGTCTTTCTCCCAGGCTACAAGCTACCCAAGTTCTGACAGCTCTGTTTGACAGCTTGCCAAACCTCCACCACCATCAAAACCTCCAGGGTCGCCCTTCCCGCTGTCCTTCAGCCCACTGTTCAGGAAGCCTGGGCCTGCCCTGCGGCCTCCCCCCGAGCCGGAAGTCCCCCCTAGATCTCTCCCAGGTGAGAGGAGCCCCTCCATCTGCAGGCCCCACCTGCGGTCCTCGGTCCCCCACACCTGCCACCAGGAATCCCAGCCTGCAAAACAGCATAAGTACTTCCTCTTCCCAAGGGCTACCCTCGTCCTCAGGCTGCTTGCCTCGGCACCACGTCACCTGCGCTCGGCTGGGAGACTTCCCAACTCACCCCCGCCTCCGCCATCTTCTGGGACCTGCCCCCTTGCCCCCCGTGCTCCACCTCTTCCTCCTCCCCTCCCACAAGTCCGCCCAAGCCCTACTCCGCATGCGCAGCGGACGCACACCGCGCCGGCAGTCGGGGCAGAGAGACTTCCGGTTCCCGCTGGCTCTCGCTAGTTTACTAGTAAGCCGGGGCAACAGAGCTTCCGGTCTGCGGGAGATTTGGGGGCTGGAAGGAGGCGTGGTCAGGCGAGGTGGTGGGAGGCTGCGGAATCAGCTGTTTGCTGACCCGGCGAGACTGGAGTTGTGACCCGAGTCCCGACGCTGCGCCCGCGGGCGGAGGAGGAGAGTCGTGCGAGGACTCACGCAGACTCAGGGTGAGGCGCCGCCCTCTGCGCCTCCCTGGTTCACCGGGGAGGTTGAGGGCTCCGGAGCGTGGGTGACCAGCTGCTTCTTCCCTCGGTGGACGCTGGCTGTCAGTTCCTGGCTGCTTTGCCCTAGCTTTGCCCGCTGCCCGGTTTCCCTCCCTGAGCAGCCACAGCTTATTGCGGGGAGAGCACAGTGGCTGTTTGCCCGGCATCCCCCCCCCCATCCTGCACCTGCCGGCCGTCCTGCCTGAGGATGGCCATGCTGTGCGGTGTCACGGCGGCTGCTTCCGGAGAAGGCCTTGGGGGTGTCGTGGTGAGGTGGAGAGAAGCCCTCATTTGTCCCAGGTATCGCTTCCGTGGACGTGAAGAGGCCAGCCTTCCAGAGCATGAACCAGTCCTTAGAATTTGAACGTGAACTTTCGTTTTGAATGGAAACGGCACGATCCGTGCGCAGCCCAGCCACCTGTAAACGCTGAAAGCATTCATTCAATTCATTCATTCAGAGGCAAAGTTCTGTTTCTAAAGGCTTGATTATATTGTGTGGCAGAACTGTCTCAGATCGCCTTTTCCCTGGCTTACAAGTGAGGCCAGATTTTAAGGAAAGCGTTAGATGAAGTAGGAGCATAAAAGTTTCATAAGAGTGTCAGCTGGTTGAACTACCTTGTTTGTTTTACTTTGGTAAACGATAAGATGGATTTTTAGGTGTATAATCTTTTCATCACATTTACTTCTACACGGTGCAGGAGAAGCTAAATTTGCCACAAAATTCTAAGCAAAATTTACTTGAACTTTGTTTTCTCTGGCTCTTAATTTTAAGTCCTGTAGGTTTTTTACACTAGTAGTTGACGACCTAGGTTTATTATACTGAATAGGTGAGGGCTTTTAAAAAGAAAACCACCCACAGATGAGACGACTTTACAGTGATGGAGATCAAACCCAGAGCCTTCCTTATACATGCTAGGTAAGCACTTGGCCACTGAGCCACAACACCAGCCCTTCCATGACTCTTATAATAAAACAGCACGAGTCTTACATATCCCTCTCATGCTTATTCCAACCCACCATTTTCAAACCCTATAAAACTACCTTAAGAAAAATCATAATTGGAAAAGAAAAACATAATGGAAATTTAGTTCAGGTTGGAATTTATTAATTGCACAGAGGGATAGCCCTGGAAAGTAAGAACTATATATGGAAGCAGTTTATGAGTGCTAACATCTAATGAAGTTATCCCCATTGCACTACAAAGCAGAATATAAATTCCTGAAGAGAAATACAAAGAGCCCTTGTCTTTGCTTAAGTACCAGGATAAATTTCATGGAATAGATTGGTCTCGCAATTCTGGTCATTGAAGATTATATGTGTGTGTGTGTGTGTGTGTGTATTATATATATGAGAGAGAGAAGGAGATGATATGATTGTGGTGGGAAATCAGAGTTGGAAAAATATGAACTGCAGAGTCTGCATAAAGAAAAATATTTGATGAGACATATAAGATTGGAGGTCAACTCATAAACTTTGACTAAATTTCTGTTATGTCTGGAACAATAAATTATTTAACTACTTGATTCCAAAACATAAAAACTTTGAGAAGTCCGAATAAATTTGAAAGAAGTTGGTTCGATATTATTAGTGGATCCTGGTGAAGGATTCTTGAAAACTGAATTGTGTTTTGGCACTATGACAGTCTGTATCCAATAAATTCATTTTTTCTAGACTTTTGTCTTCTCTGCAAAATGAAATAGTGGTTCAGATGATTACTAAGGTCCTCTTTTCTAGTAGAAATGTCAGTGATTTGAGAATTCTTTGATTTCTTTCCTTTATCTTTGTATGTTGTTTGGTCTCCCAACTGAACAAACCAGAAGGTAAGTTACAAAGCAAAAAAAGGAAAGAAAAGAAAACCTTCTTTAGCTAGCTAATACAAACATCAGCAAAGTTTATTTGCCTTCTTGGAAGAGTATATTGTTAGACTAACACTAATGACTGCTAAAGGTTGAATGTCTTACTAAGTCTTATAATAAATTTCTAACAACCTGACCTTTGGAAACCTTACCAAATTAAAAACATCTAAATCATTTTAAAATCAAAATTATGCTAATTTTCCTATTCAATAATTGGGCTTGGAAATACTAGAAAAATGTCCTTTTTATTTCTGGCTTTTTATAATGTTTTGATGTGGGATACTGCTTCTGTTTGACCCCTAAAATTGACAGGCTGGAAGCTTGATGCAGTTATAGTAATGCTGAAGAGGTGGAACTTTTAGGAGGTAGAGACTAAAGGAAAATAATTAGGTCATGGGAGCCCATCCTCATGAAGGTTTCAATGCTGTTCAGAGTAATTGGGATTTGTTAGGAGTTCATTCATTACCAATACAGCAGGTTGTTAAATAAAATGAATCCTGGCCCGCTCCCTGGTCTTTTCCTGATTCACCATGTACTCTTTCCTTGTCACATGAGCTCCCCACGTAATACCATACACAATGTTTTGATATAGGCAGAGGTCCTCATCAAGTGCTGAACAGTGGAGCCATCTGACCAGCATCCAAAATTAAGCTTTCCTGTAAAAATACCCAGCTTTGGGTATTTTAGGCCAACACCACAAAACAGACTAAGGCAGATGCATATAATCAAGTGGTACCATTAAAGGATTGTGCCTGCTTAAAATTATAGGATGGATCATTTATCAATCTATTCATTCCTTCACCACTGTTTTAAGAATGTAGCTGGCACCAGACACCAGGCACTGGACCTTAAGAGGAAAGCTCAACAGACGAGCCTTATGGTGTAATGAGGAAATGCAGCAAATACAGTATAAAAGACACATTGAGACAAGTGTTATAAAGATGCAGCATCTCCATACTGAAACAGTAGGTGGAGGGAGATAAAACTACATGTGCTTGCAAGAGTGACTTGAAAATAGAGAGGAAGCTGCTGAAGGCATGATGAAGAGCAAATATGAAGGCACAAAACTTGGAAACTCTTGCTGCCTGCCAGGAATGAAAAGGAATGTGTTCTCACTGAGAGTAGGGATAGAAGTTAGCAATTGAAAAGGAAAAAAAACTTACAAATAGAGGTTGTGTATTAATATCACGGTTAACCATTGAAAGTACTATGCTGAGTTTATTTTTACTTCAAGTGTCTATACCATTTTGATATGGATACCAAGTAGCAATTGAAAAACTAAGGCAAAAAGTGGTAATCCTCAATCCTGATATATGTAGCATCTATAAATCTATTAAAATAATGTGAATGCTGTGTACATCCAGCTGTGGGATCTACCCACTGTATATTCTCATGTAATTGAACTGAAGATAGGACTGAGGCTCTTTTTGTAATAATTACCTTGTACAATCTTGATGTAGTCATATAGTAGTCCTAATGCAGTCAGGGTTGAGAATCACTGGCTTCACCTTAATTTGTTCAAGGTTACTTGGCCACTAAGTAGGCAACAAAGGAGGCAACCTATATCCATTCAATACCAATTCCTGTGTTCTTAGCCACTCATTAGGGCTCCACAAAGATGAATGAGTCAGTCCTCATACCATCAATAAATTTGCAGCCTAGTAAGGTAGAAGTCTCAGTAAACCACAGCAGGCAAGCCCATGTAGACAGACACAAGTCAACTTAGAAATCTCAACGAGGTCTGTTGTATTCTACTTTAACCTAGATTGTTGTGAAAGTCAGCCAGCAGCAGGGAATGTAGATATGCAGCTATTGCAGTAGTCAGCTGAAAAATGGAATAGTGTAAGCACAAACTGAGGCAATAGGAAGGAGAGAATTAGAACTTCTTGACCACTGACGTGAGGGTGGCTCAGAAGTTTTGAGTTCAAAATATTTTAAATATTTAGGTAGAAGTGTGTACTAGAGCAGTATAAAGATGCATTTAAAGCTCAAGTAAACCAATGAGACTACAAATAAGAGATCTGGAATAACTGATTTCCTTTTCTTTTTTCTTTTTTTGTACCTGTCAGGGGGCTTGAATTCAGGGCCTAGGTGCTGTTCCTGAGCTTTTATGCTTAAGGCTAGTGCTCTACCACTAGAGCTTACAGCTCTATTTCTGGCTTTTTGATGTTTAATTTGAGGTAAGAGTCTCACAGGCTTTCCTGACTAGGCTGGCTCTGGACCAGAATCCTCAGATCTCAGCCTCCTGAATAGCTAGGATTATAGGCGTAAACCACCAACTCCCAGCTGGAATTACTGATATTTAAGAAGGTAGGTGAAGCCATGCCTTGTATAATGTATATGTTGCACACAAATTTCACTGGAAAAGATAATTGAGATAGGAGAGGAAAAATATTCCTGACATTGTCATACTTCAATATGTCAATAAAGCTATTATTTATCTGCAGTGATATTGAATACAGTCAACTCATGATTATCCATGATGGGTTTTTAATACTTCCCAGACTTTCTCTGGCCACATAAGAACTTTAAAAGATGATACATAGCCTTGGAATGCAAACTGATTTTAAACATTGGCTAAATATTTAAAGAGAATGCTTTATGATGCATTCACAAATACAATGACAATATTCCAGTATACTATTTCCACACATAATTTTTATACACCTATGGTTTTGTCTTAAATTATTTTTATCATAATTTCACTTAATCCTACAATAGTTACAATGTTCTAAACATAAAGTTAGATAGAAATTCATAGGCTTCAATACATCCATAAAACCAAACAAAGCATTTGTAAGAACATTAAGTAAAC